TCGCCCGCCCCGCGCTGCCGCCTGACCCCGCCACAGGCTGAGTCGCCCTCATCTGCTCCCTCCAGGCTGAGGCAGAAGTGGCATCTTTGAATCGCCGTATCCAGCTGGTAGAGGAGGAGTTAGACCGAGCCCAGGAGCGCCTTGCCACAGCTCTGCAGAAGCTGGAAGAGGCAGAGAAAGCTGCAGATGAAAGCGAAAGGTGAGCAAGGGCTGCTGCTCAAACATCTCGGACGTGTTCCTGAGGGCCCAGTGCCATCAACCTCTTGGGAAGGAGATACCCCTGGATGTGGGGGTACCCACTTGTGCGGGGCAACTAGAACAGTGCTGATGGTCTTGAGGGAGTATCTTGGAACATGAGGCTGAGGAGCGAGTAAGTGCTGTGTGCTACCACGCATCCCCGCCTCCAAGAGAGGAGAAGTGTGTTGGTTTTGGGACACGGTTGTCTTGTGAAGGTGGCTGCTGGTGGGGAAGCCTCTCTTCCTGCTGCCTCTGCCAGCATCCTCCCTTCTGGCAGATGTCCCTTGACCTGGCAGCGTGATTCAGAGGGGAGCGGTCTCCTTCCAGTTGGCTGATGCGCTTTGTCAGTGCGTGTAGTGAGCACCCTGACCCAACTGATGTCCTGCTGTAAAGATGGACTTGGCTCTTCCTGCATTCCAGCCTGGAAAGTGCTTGGCTCAGCTGCGTAGAGTCCCTAAGATGGCCTGGCTTGTTCTTCTTGGCAACACCACATTTCCCTTGGTCCAGAAGCCCAATGAGCTGCTGGAGAAAAGCTCCAAGGAACAGTTAATTCCGAGCAATTAGGGTTGCTGTATTCGCGTCAGCCCAGCGGTGTCTGCCTTCCTGTGCTCCCCTCTGCTCTCAGAGGTGTCGTGGCTTACGAGGAAGCAGCGTGGCCCTGGGGGAGCACCGTGAACGCTCTGAAACTCATTACACCGCTGGCTTGTACAGGGTGGTTTCGTACATCTCCCCTCCCTGTGCTTTCTTTTGGGCAGAGGCATGAAAGTCATTGAAAACAGAGCTCTGAAGGATGAGGAGAAGATGGAACTGCAGGAGATCCAGCTGAAGGAAGCCAAGCACATTGCAGAAGAGGCGGATAGGAAGTACGAGGAGGTGAGAGCCTCGGATGCTTTGGTGGAGCTAACTCTGGCCAGGAGAGGCGGCTCCTCTTCCTGCTGGCAGGCCTTTCCTCAGCAAGCCTGGGGGGAGAGCCTGGCTCTGAGCAGAGCTACATCAGTGTTCCCCTTAGCCAAAAGACTCTGGCGGCTCCAGTGGCTCCTGCAGGTGTTCCCTTTACTGCCCTGCACGGGCCACAAGGACAAAAAAAATCATCTTCCTTCCTCTTAACTCCATTTCTCCTTTCCAGGTTGCTCGGAAGCTGGTGATCATAGAAGGAGATCTGGAGCGTACTGAAGAGAGAGCTGAGCTTGCAGAGTCGTGAGTAATCTGCTCGCATGTAACTGGCACATCTACCTTTGCATGGGAACTAACACAGCATTTCTAACCTTGTTACACAAGGCCTGAAGCACAGGGTGGGTTTAGATCCTCAGATGAAAGAGTTGGAAGCGCTCTCTGCCTCGGAACAGGGTTAGGTCCGCTGAGGATGCGGAGTTTGATGTGATTTGCCTTGTAGTGGAGATGTTCTGCCCCTTTGCATGGAGAGAATCCCTAGTTAGCAAGGCCAGGGAATCCTTTCCCACTCGGTAGTCACCACCACTGCTTTGTACGTACGGCCACGAGATCCTCGCACGTTGCGATGGGGCACGTGAGCGCACAGCACTTGTCCTAAAACAGCAGAGGCCTCCCGGGCCGGGGGCTGAAGTGGCACGTGGGATGTCGAAGGGCAGAACCGCGGCTGAGGTTGGTCTCTGCCCTCTTAAAATATTTGCAGTAACTGCTACAGGCTTCTGCACTGCTGAGCAGCAAGCTGGGCTTCCTCTGCTTAGAGCAGACCCACAAATTGGGGTGTTTGGGCTCCTTTCACGTGTCCGGATGCTTGAGCTGATCCTTGAGGAGCTGGTCAGGGCCTTTCTGTGCTCTGGGCCTTGTCTAACAAAGTTGGTGTGTACGCAGCAGTAGCAGTGTGCTTCCTGCCCAGACATGCATGTCATGACCATGACTTTTTTGTGTTTTTCCCCTACCCCCTTTTTTGCTCTGTGGTATTGTGTTATTGGTGCTTCTTTTGACCCTTGCCCCCACCTGGCTTGTGCCATCGTGTGACCGTCACTAACAGTCGTTGCCGGGAGCTGCAGGAGCAGATCAGAGTGATGGACCAGAACTTGAAGTGTCTGTCTGTTGCCGAAGAAAAGGTACTAACCTTTCCCTTCTTGAACCATTAAACCAGAACTCTTGTGGTCTCCTTGCTACGCTCCTTCCCTCAGCTTAACTGCGTCTTTCTCTCTCCTGGAATGTTCTGTCCTCTCTGCCCATAAGTATTCCTGTCTGGTGGTGGCTGTCCATCTGTCCGTCAGAACAGCTTCCCTCCTTGCAGCAAACTAAACACGCAGTTTCAGCGTGAAGACTCCAGGTCCGGCAGAAATCTGTGTCCACGTCTCAGCTGCTCAGCTCAGTGCCCTGTGCGTGTGCTGGCAGGATACTCCAAAATGGGAACTCGGAGGCGGGAAGAGAACTTGCTTTCTGCACAAGTGCCTCAAAGCAGGGTCCCATCTAGTCTGATCGCAGACTGTCTCCTAAAGAACTTCCTGGTCTTCCCTGCACATGGATTCACTTCTTGTCTCTCCTGTCTTTCCCTCCCACTTCTTTTCCTTTTTCTCTCTCCTTTCTTTATGAAACCCCACAGTAAATGTTCCGAGCTGGAAGAAGAGCTGAAGAATGTCACCAACAATCTCAAGTCTCTTGAGGCTCAGGCTGAGAAGGTAGGGCTCCTTGTCCAAGGGCCAGAAACATTTCTCTTTTGCTCGGAGGGTGTGCCACAGCAGAGCACCCACTTGGGATGGAGATGATGCAACCGCAGCCTTGAGCAAGCGAGGAGAGCTGTGCTTGCTCTCCCAGGAGAGCTAACGGATTTCAGTGCAGGGCTGACGTTGAGCGTCGAAGCTGGGAGTGCGGGAAGTCTGGCTGCCCTGCCCTGCCTTGGGGCAGACTCCGTCAGCCAAGATGTTTATGCTGCTGGGATGAAAATTTTTCTGCGCCCAAGTTTGTGTTACGTGTGTGATGTGGGACTTGCTGCCTGACCCAGTTGTGTTGGGTGAGGGTAGGGATGTGAACAACTCCCAGCTGGAAGCTTCTGTGGGTGCGTGCACTGCAGGGAGGAGTTCACGTCTCCCTCTGTAGCTGTGGGCTCTCTGGAGTGGGAGGTTTGTGGGGCTGCTGAGGGCTGCCGATTGCTGACTCCTCCCTTTTCCACAGTACTCTCAGAAAGAGGATAAATACGAGGAAGAGATCAAGATCCTGACTGATAAACTCAAAGAGGTGAGTAACCGTGTGGGGATGGCCCGCTGGGTGAGCTGGCTTCAGCTTGACTGCGGGGAGACGTGGAGGCTGGCAGACTACATGTCCTCAGGCTGCTGCCTCTGTAGTCTTTGTGTCCCAAAGCTGTTGTCCTAACTGCCTCGCCTCTGTCTGGCAGGCGGAGACCCGTGCTGAATTTGCTGAACGATCTGTAGCCAAGCTGGAGAAGACCATCGATGATTTGGAAGGTACATTCTGGGGATGGGAAGCCAAAGAATATGTAGTGAGGGGACCTGAGGAAGGCTGTCTCCCGGAGAGCTGGAGAATGGAGGCGCTGCTCTGCTCCTCCATACTTGGAGCCTGACCTAACTTGATCTCTAAGGTGAGGCTTGGTGCCTCTGGGCTCAAGAGTTGTGCCCTGTGTATCTACTCTGAAAGCAGTTCCCTGGCTGGGCTGTAGCAGGCCTCAAGCTCTTGATCCAAACCCCTTGCTGCATCTGACTGATAGTGACAGATAGTGCAGCTGGTGTATCTTGGTTGTGATGCCCTCAGGAATGTAACTGGACTCCTGTGCTCTCCAGCTTAACCCCAATTTAAGGAGTGGCATAGGAAAAAAGACCACTTGAACTCAACAGGAATTAGTTACGATAACATACTTATGTGCAGAATCTCGTGCACGTGGCGCTCTGCTGCAGACAGTGTTGCTGCAAGTCCACCACAGTAGTCAGTGAGTCTTGAAACAGCCCCTGTGAAGACTTGGCCTCCCCAGTATTGCTCCTGGTTCAAGATTAAATCACCAGAAGCTCCACCCATGCGGTGTGGTGGTCAACCTGTGCCTGGGATGGGTTCCTTTCCACCTCCTGTTCCTGGTTTCACCATACTTCAGGAGCACTCCTGAGGGCAGCCATTGCTGAATCCTACCTTTCCCCAAGCCATGGAAGGAGAAGGTTCTGGCTGGCTCCCTTAAATCCAGGGCTGTGGCTGGAGTGGTGGTGCTGGTAAACCAATACTTAGAAGCCTCCTGCCTCAAGCACAGCGTGTGCCTCAGTGGTGGTTTAGTGCCAGGTCTTGGAGATGCAAAGCCACATCCTACTGTCTGGAGTCACTCTGGAGGTTTTTTTAATCTAGAAATAGCAATGGTGTCAGCTGAGCTATTCCAGAACTGCAGCCAAGCAGCAATCTGAGCCACCTCATGATCCAGGGCAAGCTTTTATTGGGAACTGCAAAAACTCCTTCAAATCCCTGCGTGCTCCCCTTGAAACACGTTGATCGAGAATTGGCTCTGGTCTCCAGCCTTGCTGCTGAAGTGACCTGGTTTATGACAACTGACAAAGTTCTCCGGGCTCTGTGAAGCCATTAACAACATTACCAGCTGTACTAGGCAGCTAGAGCTGGGAGAAGTCTGTGCCAGCTCTGCACAGTGCTCGAGGAGTGCATCGGTACGAGTTTCGGGACTGCCTCCTCCCCTGAAGGAGAGCGATCTGCCGGTCTGCTCCGTTATCCGGTAGAGAACACCGGTGTGGCCTGTCCTTTAGGCTCACCCTGCCAGCTGTGTATACAAGATGGGAATTTCCTCTGATGCCCAGGACTGTTACGTGACTCACTTCCCCCAAGCTGGTTTTTAGATTGAGACTGAAGGTGAGAACAAAGCACCTCCATTGATCTGTGCCTTCCTTAGGTGTAAGCAAGCTTCTCCCCAAGTGGATGGAGTTGCCCTTCCCTGCTGTTCCTCCTGTCAGTGGTTCTTGCTGACCCAGCTGGGCAGCTTGTTTTCACAAGCTGATGCGGTTTGAGTTCTTGGCTCTGCTCCCCTCAGAGCTGGCTTGTAATCCTGGAAGGCACTTGCTGGTCAGACTGTCCTCAGGCTGTTGGAACCCACCCATTCATTGTCGGCAACTAATACGGAGTTGTGATGGCTCCACATCTAACTTCATTTTCTTCTCTCCATGAACCCCATACTGCTTTTCCTGCCCCAGGGTGCTGGAAGAACTCTTCTGCCTTCCCTCATTGTTTCCCTTTTGTTCTCCTCCTAAACCTCTTCTAGATGAGCTCTATGCCCAGAAACTGAAGTACAAAGCAATTAGTGAGGAACTGGACCACGCCCTGAATGACATGACTTCCATGTAAATATGAGCTGGCTGGTGTTCGCCTCTTGCTTCAGCAGGCTAGACTGCCAGAGCTTGCTTGGTTTGCTGTGACTTTCCTAGTTGGAGAATCGATGGCACTGTGTTGTCTAGGTTACTTCTACAGATCTCTGCCTCGAGGATTGTGGAGGCTTCCCTGCAGCATGCCGTACTCTTAACTCTAGGTCCTTGTGATCTGCATGTGTAACACGAAGTGCTGTGCTGGCCTGAAAGGGTTCGGACTTGAACTCCACGAGTGCAATTCCCAGCCCCACTGGGAAAGGCTTCCTAAGGTGATGTGGCTTAGTTGCCTGCTGGAGCCACTGGGCCGTGGCCTCGGGGTTCCTCCTGGAAGAGGCTCTGGCTAGTGCTCCAGTGGATTCCTTAGGAGCGGCCCTAACAGAGTTGAGATGGGCTGGATCGTGAACTGATCTGTGGAAGTAGCTGAACTCGTACGTTTCTGCAACTTTGCTACTCGGCTTTTTGTTCGGATTTGCGGCGGGTTCTGCTAACAGCTGCTCCACATGGTCCTTACCACTAACCGAGGAGAGGCCAGGTACCGGCACTGCCGAGGAAGAGCCTTAACACTAGCGTCCGAGAGCTCCCTAAGCAAAGTTTGCCGTGCACAAACACTGAAGCTTCTTTTAAAATTAGTGTCTCCTTCTGTCTCACACAGATAAGTCTTGCGATTCCAAACTCCACTTTGGATTTGCCTCTCTGCGTAGTGGCTTGTTCTGCACCTGCACCCTGCCTTCATGCTCTCGTCACCTCGCTCTGAATTCCAGTACCTTTTTCCAGTTACTGTGCCCAGGGCATCCCTGGGAACGAGTGCTGTAAAGACACTGAAGCTTGATGGCAGCAGTAGCAGCCCCCCAGTTATGCTGCACTTGCTCCTAAACAAAGCTCCCTCTGTTTGACCCGATGTGCCAGACACTGCTGTGCTCTGAGGGGCTGCCCTTTCACTGTCTGGGTGTAGCTGGGAGTATGTTGTTCTCATCTGCATATCGTGTGTAGAGCCATAAAGCTCCTTTTGTATTTCTCTTGCCTCTTGCTCGAGCATGATGTCACCTTTTTTAAGGAAAACAATTCTGGTATAAATTGAATGGAACGGCTGGTGCTTTTGAGAAACGGGTTTCCAGTGACCACTTGCTGCTTCAGAGTAACTATTTCAAACCAATGTAACCCTCATCACCCTTGGTGGAACACACAGACTTCATTAACCTGCTGGATTTTTTCCCTTTGGGTGTCTTACTGGCTCCCAAATGTGAATTGCAGCTCCACAGACGGTGCCTCGGCATGTCGCATGCTCTGTAGGGTCAAAGGGGAGGCTGGGGTTTGCAGCAGGACGTCAAGTCCTCGAGCCTGGCTGAAGCCACTCCTTACACCTGCCTGCTCGGTAGTGTTCACCGGCATCGGTTGCCAAACGCTGGCTCGCAGTGGGAAGTCACCACACCTGATAGGCACTAGGTCACTGGCAGGGTGTGGAAGCTAATAAATATCAAGTGGCTGGTTTCCAGTTGGGCAGGACTGGTTGGGGGCAAAGTGCTGCCTGTGGCTGTGGGGGGGGATGTATGGCCCCTCGCTTCCGAACTGAGACTGCGCTGCAGCAGGGCTGTGGGCACCCGAGCCAGGGAATCTGTGGCTTGCGAAGTCCTCCGCTCCCCGTGCAGGGGCTGAGGGGGATGGGATCCCCCCCGGGGAGCGTGGCACGGAGCTTCACAGCGAGCGCCGCAGCCGGCAGGCTGCAAACACTTGGCGTGTGTCACCGCGGGTCTGACTCTGCTAGTTGCTCCGGTGTCGTGAGCACCGATCAGCCTCTCGTCCCTGTCTGTGCCGCCTCACGGCGGTTTGTCAAATGCTTTTTCCTTTCTGGGTTGGTTCATCTGCCGCAGTGCCCGAAGAGCCCTTCACGAACAGAGTTTTGATGAAATGGGCCACCTCCCGTGGTTTCCTCAGGTTTGTGTCGCTCAGTTCTCCACAAGCGTAGTCCAGACATGCTGAACTGCCCCGGCCTGTTCTCACTCTCCTGTGTCAGGGCTGTCCGCTCTCTGCCGGGTCTGGGTGGGGAAGGAAAGGAGCGTTCCTGCAAGGAATTTCAAAGGGTTGGACACTTCAAAGCTTGGAAAGCTCTGGCAGATGGTGGTCTGACTCTCCCCGGGTATGGAGCAGTAACTCTGTGCCCTGTGAGCCCAAAGCAAGAACCTGTAACTCTTCAGTAACCAAACCTGCAGCTGGAGTAAGGGGGGTCTAGATCCTGTGGGAGGGGCAGGGCTTCTGTCACAAGCGTCTGGGGGTGTGGAGGTTTCCAGCCCAGTGTTGGGTTGCCAGCTCTTACCCTTGTGAAACAGCCGCCTCGTGGGGAGGTCCCGTCAGCTGTGGGCTTGTTACTGCCTCGCGCTGCGTGGAGCTGGTGGCTCTGCCGTTGCACGGTGGTGTTGCAAGCGATGTTATCGCAGGCTGGGCTGTGGCAGGCCCTTTCCCTGCTTGTCCTGGTGGAACTCCATGCTGGGTGGTAGATGGATGGGATGGGTGGGTGATGCAACTTCTGCCCTGGGAGGTTTTAAAAGGCTTCTGGTCTGACTGGATTGCTGGGCTTGTGCAGGCTCGTTACCGTGAGGTGGGCTGTTGGCTCAGGAGTGCTGCAGATGAGCTGACCAGGAGGCACAGGTCCTGGAGCTCCCCAGGTTGCAAGGACGGCTGGTAAGGCTGCCCTGCGGGCTGGGTGGAGAAGGGAACAGGCCAAACGCTGAATCTAGCCCCAGCAGACCTGGGCAAACATTCCGTGTTGAGCTGTTCCTGAGGTCTAGGAAGGGTCATGCTAATTACTTCAGTCAATCTGCTCCCTCACGTGGGTGGATCATCAGGTCCCTGTCCGCAAGCAGCACCTCACCCTTGAAGGCTGTGAGCCGTTGCACCAGCCTCCAGTCACAGGGACTTCTGACTGCAGTTCACTCCCATCCTCTGCCACTCTGGAGACCCAGGACCAGCCCTGATCACCTGGGGCTGGAGACTGGCACCCAGCCTACCTGCTCAGAGCCAGGCTGGAGGCCAGAGAGTGCGTCCCCAGCAACAGTAGCTGATGTGCAAGGGGGGCTCTGGCATAGGCCAGGATGGGGTGTACCCGTCCCCCACACCACAACTCCCCTCAACTTCTAGTTAGAACGTGGTGGGACAAAAATTGTTGGCTGTTGGTTGGTCCCTCAGTGGCTTCAAGAAGGGACAATCAATCAGCGTTGCTGCCCTCTGTCCTGCAGAGTGAGGTGCAGCCAGAGCAGGGGCTGAGGGCTGAGAGGAGCTGAGGGTAGCTGGGTGAAGGTGAGCTTCACCCCTTCTGTGCGTCTGTCGTGGTGGAGGGACTGGGCTGAGACTCCCTGGAGAGGGGGACATGCTTTGGCTGCTCCGTGTGAACAACTTGACTCAGTGTCTTGAATCTTACCTGGCCAAGTCTTCTTCAAGAGCAAAATATTCCTAGGTTGAAAGTAACGGGGAATGGTGTAGATCCCCTTCAGAGGGTGCCCTAGATTCCTAGGGACCTTGTGGTACAAGGATTTGAGAAGGAGCCGAAGGCCAGCAAGAGTGGCTGTGCTTTGTGCTCGCTCATCAGGCAGAGGCAGCACGCCGTATGGATCGCTACAGTTTGTGATGATTAGTTCTGCCAGGCTGGCCGCTGTTATATGAGGATTTTTCACTGCCTGGAATCCCCCCAGATGCAGGAATTGGAGTTGTCAGGCTGGGAGGACCCTGCCTGTGTCGATGGGCAGAGATAAGGTGCTGAACTGGTTCTCTGTTGTGGCTGACAGGCTGCCTGACAGGACATCCAAGAGGGGGCCTGTCCTGGCAGAGGTTCTCCCTTTCCCTGGAGTTACTGCTGAGAACACGCACTTGGGACCAGCCTTGGGGGGAGGAGTGTGGTCGCTAGAGCCCTGCGAGGCTGGGAGGACAGGGACTGGCTGGGAGGTGAAGGCTGTCAGCTGCAGGGGCAGTTTGTGCCCTGCTCGTGTAGCTGTTCTGGGGCAGGCCTAGAATAAGAGCCTGTGCTCCCAAACTTCCTCTGTGCTGTACCTGCAGCAGATACTGCCTTCGATCCTGGCGTAGGTGTGGTGGGTTGTCAGGGCGGCACAAAGGTGTGTCCTGGGGGAGGAGTGTCCTCCAGGTCAGGTAGGAGGTGCTGTCATTTTCCGTTCTTCTGGTGTCCCTGTCCTACTGTTAAAACCCCATCGATCTCACTGCTGCTTGGTGTGGTTCACTCTGCAAGGTGCTTCTGGTTGAGCTGTGGTAGGACTCCTTCTTTCTGCAAAGTGCTCTTACAGGCTGAAAGCGCATCCCAAGTCTCCTTGCCTGGGTACAGCCCAGCCTGCAGGCTCCTCTTCTGGTGTGTTCTCCTCTTCCTTTCTTGGCCTTCGCAAGCCCTTGGCAGCACTTCCATGTCTGCCCGCACTTGGTTTCCTCCGTGATCTTCCTGAGCTGAAAAGTTAGAGTAAGACAAACTTTTGTTCTCCCTGGCTTCATCTCTGTAATGGCCTAGACTTGATCCTCAGAGACACGTGTTATGGAGACAGCTGATTTGATGTGCTCGTCTTGGTCCTCTACTAACCTTCCCTTTCTCTCTTTTTCTCTCTTCCTCTTGTTTCCCCTAATCCTGTTGCTGCTGCAGAGCGCCTGTACAGCCAGCTTGAGAAAAACCGCCTGCTCTCTAACGAGCTGAAGTTAACGCTGCATGATCTGTGTGACTGAGAAGGGGGCCCACTAATACCATTAAACAAGCTTATTGCGACCACCAATGCTGTGGACCACAGTGAAATCTGATCTTTCTTAAGACTGGCAGACTTGCACCTTTTATGCAATTGCTGCTATTTAATGGGGCGCTTGAATTTATCCTCTAATTTATTTAAGAGTTTGTTTTTATAAAGCTAACCTCTCTTCTTGGTGGAGTAACCCTCAGACTGGGCTGGTTTTTGAGCAGACTTGTTCACTTCTCCGCGGGGTCCTGCCTGGCTCCTCCGTGGAACCAGACTGGCTGCACCCACCAAGAGAGGGGAGGGGTGAAGTTAGGCTTATGTCTGCTAAAAGATGCCTGTCAAGTGCTAAGGCTTAATATACTGTTAGAGGAACGACTGTAGGATTTCCTGCTGCATGGAATGATGGCTTCTAACAATAAATGACTGACCTCGTGGTCTGTAAGACACTGCACACCTGTAGTACTTTCCTATATAGTTGAGTCCTAACCTAGAAGGCTTGGGGCAAGCGGTCATTCCCGGGGCCTGACCCCGGCGCAGCTGCGGAGCCCCAGAACGGGTTGGGAAAGCTCATGAACGCTTTGAAAGCCAGTCCCAAAAATCCCCAGCGTGAAGCTGGGTCTTGAGCGCCTGCAGGGAACCTCGAAACGCTGCAGTTGCTAGTGCTCTAGGAAGGCTGCTTCTCGCTCTGTGCCCGGTTTCTGATCCTGGGGAGGTTGGGGAGCAGCTTTGAGAAACTGCCTCTACCTAAAGGACATCTTTCTACAGCCTGTCTGTCCAGTGTCCCAGCGTGTGGATGTCTTCAGTGATATGGGTGGGCTCACCTTTGGAGTAAAGCCTACCTAGAGCGCTAGTTGCTGATCTGAGCTCTCCTCCTGGCTTAAGGAACATGTGAGAATCGACCGCGCAGCCGCCTGTAGTCTCGGGCAGAGTTGCAGCACCCTCGCTCCTCCTCGCTCCCTGCCTGCCCTTCACTGCAAACAGCCTCCTCCCCGCTGTCCTTGAGGCATGGTTGTCCGCTCCCCGCTGCTGGTCGTTGGGGCCTCGGTGCCCAGCTTGGCGTCTCGGGTCCTGTGCTGGGAGGGGGAAGGCGGGCACAACCAGCTGTAGTGGCAAGGGGTGACTTCTTGAGTGTGGTTTACCTCTGCGTTGCTCTTGGGCGCCTTGCTGGGCCACGGGGGGTCTGCTGGCTGGAAGTGTTGGAGCCCTGGGGAAAGCTAGCTGCGGTCGGAGGCACCTGCATGCCAAACACTGCCTAGAGCACTGGCTAAAAGTCCATCGTGACCGTGCTGACTGAGAGCACCAGCAATGAGAGAGGCCAGGGCTACAAATGAGCCAGGTAACTTCAGAGCTTCTAGCTGCACCCAGCCAGGCACCCCCCGGCCTGAGGACTTGCTGCGGCAGCGTGCTGGGAAGGGGGTAGCGCGAGCTTTCTTTGGCGAAGGTTTCTCTGTTGGCTGAAGCTGCCTTGTTGTAACTCTTTGACTCTTGCTTCCTGCCAGATAAACTGAAATCCACCAAAGAGGAGCATCTCTGCACGCAAAGAATGCTGGACCAGACCCTGCTAGACCTGAACGAGATGTAATGGATCCCTGCCACTGCCTCCGCCACACGATGCCGGGGGGGCCAGCCCAGCTGCTGCTGACCTCTAACCCTTGGGGACCAGAGTTTACTTTCTGTTGCCAACTCGACCAAACACAAATCTTCTCCTTCGCCTCAGGGTTAAAGGCCATCAGGTTGGGCAGAGCTTCAAACACCGTTATTAAGGGAAATAAACAATGCAATAATGTTTGGGGAGCATGTTTGAGATGTACACATTTTGTAACTACCTTTTTTTGTAGCAACCATTGTAAACATTCCGAATAACTGGTGAGGTTGGTGAGCTACACTTCAAAGCTCTTGGCTTTAAAATTCCCTATTAACCTTCTGTTAATCAGCTCTGGGCCACCCTGCTTTGGCAGGGGAGGAAAGAGGGTGTGACGGTTCTGGCTGTGGGCCACTGAATTAGAGTAGCTGGGCTAGGGATGGAAGCCTGTTGGGAAAACTTCCTTTCCAGGAGCTGTTTGCCAAAAGAGCAGTTCAGTTTCTCAGCTTTAAGGTAACTCTCTGTGTTGTGGAGAAGCAACTTGGGTGAAAGAAGACTTTTTTTTTTTTTTTCTTCTTTTTATTAAAGCCAAGCCTGTTATCTGAACAATGGAACCTTCCTAGGGGTTGTTTCCCTTCCCTTCCCCGCCACTGTTGGCCATTTCTTTCCCTGGTAGGCTTAGAGAAGCCACAGCCCCTCTAACCAATGGCTACCCAGGGGTTGAATTTGCCTTCACTAAGTGCTGACACACCACGCTTTATTGCTCATTGCTGGGTTACACTTAACAGCTTCAGTACAACAGCCTTGTTTTCCTGGAGAAGTTGTTTTTTGGTTGTTGGTTTTTTTTTTTTTGCCTACCCTGAGGGAAGGAAGCGAGGCCTTCCCTCCTGGCCAGGAGTGCTCTTAGTGTCTTAATAAGGTACAAGCCATCTTGCTGTGCATTGCTGACGTGTAGTTGTTGTGAGGCGTGAGTGTGGAGACGTGTCGAGCTCGCGGCGTGTCGCTTGTGGTCGGAGCATGCTGCTTGGTTGTAGCAGTTTTAGGGGCCAATCGGGAGAAAAGGAACCCTACCAAGTGTTTTGATACGAAGTCGAAAACAAGAGAAAAAAAAAAAAA